GCACCGCCGCCGGGGCATCCCCGCCGGCTGCAGCCGCCCTTACCGTGCCCCTCTCCAACCCTGGGAAGGGTAAATCCCTCCCGTTCAGCCTCTGAAGGGGTTTAAGCACTGCTCACCGTCCGGCAGCAAAGCGGTTCGGTGCTCAGCTGGGTTTTAACCTCGCATCTGATTTCCCTTCCCACTCAAAACAAAAAAAAGGATTTTAAAAGTCTTCCCCCCCGCCCCCTCCATGGGACGGTAGGAGGAGAAGTGGGTTATTAAGGGCTGGGGGAAGGCAGAGCTGCTGCAAAACCTGGGGAAGGAGGATGCAGGGAGGCGGCAGAGAAGGTTTTTCATACCTCTGCCAAGCAGAAATTGCTGCCCAGGCAGGGACTGATAAACTGCAGGACATTTAAAGCGTAGGAGCACAACCCAGCGTCAGAAGATGATAAAAACACCGCCCCGACCAAGCCGTAACCCTCTCCTCCCTGTCCCACTGGGGAGAGCTCTCTGGAGGATGCTGCCTTGGCAAGGTCTCATCTTGCTGCCCATGGGCTGCCCTGGCACAGGGCTGGGGGCAGGTTGCCCATCCAGGTCTTTTCCAGCTGGGAATGCAGCCGGGATGGTGTGGACTCAACAGAGAGGCCTGGGGGAAGTTTTTCGCCATGCAAAGCGAAAGGACAGGCGAGGGCCAGCAGCGGTCCCCAGGGACGGCCGGGGCCTCACGATGCTGAGCTCACCCTCGCGCTCTGTCCAGGACCCGTCTTCCGCCCCGGCAAGCGCATCCTGTCTCCACTGCTGCTTCCCAAATATTTAGATAAGATGGGGTGAGATTAGGTGCCTTCCTTGGCCGGGCGGCTCCCGCCCTTGAGATGGAGCGAGTGGGATGCTGCCGGCCTTCAGTGCAGGACCCGGTGCGATGGTGTTGCAGAGGGAGGGGAAGGTTTGGGATGTTGGAAGGGGCAGGAGCAGAGCCTTTCCCAGCCGGGACACCTCCTGCCCGGTGCCTTGTTTCAGTATGCATGGAGGACTTTTGCATACAGGACTTGCGCTGGCAAGACCTTGTGCGCGCATCATCTTTGCACGAAGGGCTTGTGCACACATGACCTGTGCGTGCACAATCTGTGCACGTAGGAGCTGTATATACAGCACCTTTGCATACAGGACCTGTGCGCACAGCATCTCGGCACTCAGGATCTGTGCATGCTTGCGTCTCTACCTTAGCGAGCTCCCAGCTGCTAGGAAGCACAGGGGATGTGGGCTCCATCCAGCCCTCTACCATCCCTCCAGTGCTGTCCCGGCTAACCCTTACAGGGATGCTCCAGTTTATCTGAAAGCAAAACTCTTTCTCCTGCCTCTACAGAGCCGTGGGGAAGCTGTAGAGAAGACAAGGACTTGTGTTGGTGGGGACAGAGGGTAGAAATGCAGGTGGTGGGAGGGCTACAGGTGCCTGGAGGGGGGACAAGGGGGGCTGCACAGTCCTGTCCCGCTCCTGCCGCAGCCCCTCAGCCTCCCCTGACCCCCCCATTCCACTTCCCTCAGGGACCTGCTATTCCTGTAACACCAAAAGCTGCGGCTCTCAGATAAGGCCGGCGCAGGGCCCCGGTGAGGAACAGCAGCCAAGAGTTCAGCTTCTCATAAAGAAACTACTTTTAAACTTTTCCTGTTCCCTGGGAAGACCGGCGGCGGTCGGGCGGTGCTAAGGGATGGGGGAGGACGGGGACGGCCACAGCATCCCTGACATCCACGCTCCTTGCTGGTCCCCAAGCTGAGTCCTCGCTGTCACTGCAGGTCGAGTGGAGGACCGCCAGTGTCAACGTCTCCTTCTTTGAAAGCTTCTGCTCGACGGGTCAGCACGCTTTCAATGCCAGCAGGGAAACGTGCACGGTGATGCTGACCTCCCAAGAGCCCCGCTCCCAGCACTGGGCTGTGCGGGCGGTCGTACACCGTGAGTATGATCCCACCATCCCATGAGACTGGCAGCAGGGACCCTGGCACAGGGATGCAGCCTGAGGCTTGGCAGAGCCCTCAAGTCTGCTAGAGCTTGGCCAAGGGGCTCCTTTCCTTGGGCTGCCCCATCTGAATGCCTCAAGAGAGGCACAACGACCCCAGAAATGAGGTTTGCTCCCCAATGAATGTACCAGGTCCCTCTCCCATCCATGATGAGTCAAGGCAGGACTAGTCTCCAGGTGGGAAAAATTCCTCCCAAGTGGTTAAAATCCAGTGCCCAGTTCAACTCCTTCCCCAAGGGACCACAGAGGGGAATTTCTTGCCCACGTTGGAGCCTTTTGGGGAAATCCAGCTCAGCCTGGGGATGCCGAAATGTTGCTTCAGCACCAGGGTGCTGGGAGGATGGAGACATCACGCTGCCCTAGCATGAGTGGGAGGAAGGACTGAGCTCCATCGTCCTCCTCATCATTGAGTGGCCCCAGCCTCCAGCACCCAACCATAGGCAGGGCAGCTGGGCCCTGGGGACTAATCCTGCACCGCTGCGGCATGGCCCACAGTAGCCAGTTACAGCCCCTCACGTGGTCTTGCTTGTAAATCACCCCGTAAAGCAGAGCCCCCCCACCAGGGTGTGCGTGGCCTGGATCTGGGGGACAGTGAGGACTGCGCTCTCTGAGGTTGTCCCACTTCCAGAAGAAGAAGAGGTCCCAACTCCTTGTGTGGCTGTGGAGGCACCTGGGTTGAGTTCCTGCCACAAGGGTTGCCTTCATGCCCACATATCTCCATCCACCTCCAGAAAGGGGGTCACCCCATGGACTGGGGGGTGGTGGCACAATCTGCCCAGCCACCCATGTGTTCATTGCAGCCTCTCTTCCCACAGTCCCCTTGGACCCTGAAAAAGTCCTCGAGGAGCTGAAGGAGAAGGACAAGTTAGAGGAGGTAAGCGGGTCCCCTGGTCACGGTCCCCACAGATGTCCCCCAAGGTGGGTGGCACAGAAAGCCCTTCTCGGGGCCTGACCCATTCCTTCTGTGGCAGCTCGGCATCGCCAACATCACCTATGACAAAATGGAGAGGGAGATGATAATCAACGATGAGTTCAGCACGCCCCTGATCATCACCATCGTCACCCTGGCTGGCTCCCTCCTGCTGATCGCGGCCATCTACGGCTGCTGCCACCAGCGCTTCTCCCAAAAGAAGGACCAGGTAAGGTGGGAGGGGGGTGGGACAGGTACCCTGAGACCTTTTTGTCCCTTCAGGAGGTGATGATCATTGATGTTGCCATTTCTGCTGGTGGAGATGTCCTGGCTTGCCCAATGGGCACCACCCTTGTGTGTTGCACAAAGAGTGCCCAAGTGCTGGGGATGCTCTGGGGGGGCCAAGAGCTGCGATTTGGG